CATTAAAAAGTGAGGTCGTGACGACATGAAATTAGTGTAAATATTTACTTATAATTCATAAATACTGGGTTTCAGTACTGATGTAAAATATCCTCAGTGGTAGACGGATCATGGGTTAGAGTCTCCTCACCGGCAGCCTAACCGGGGGAGGATTTCGTGATTTTCTTATCCATGTAACGCAAATGAGGGTTAATTCAATCAAAAAGGCCTCCTGTTAGGCAAATTTCTCTCAATACTTGAATCAGGTGTTCCCTTACCTCATTTTTTATAGGGCGTCGTGGCTACGAATTTCCATGAAATTCTAAAACATTGAAACTTTCAGAAGTTTTTTAAATTCTTTTTAGAGCATTCGCCTTCCAATGAGGCGAATCGGGTTCGAATCCCAGCGATATCTGGTCGATACGAATTCTTCACCCTGTTCGCACCGACCACAGTGCTAATATAAAATATTCTCAGTGGTAGACGGATCAAGGTGGAAGTTTCTTTGTTTTCCCCTCCATGTAAAGCAATTACGTGTCAGTTCCATCAAAAAATCCACCACGAAGGCAAATTTCTCTCAATGCTTGATCCAGGAGTTTCCTAGTCTTTTGGATCAGGTTCAAAATTACAAGGCAACGGAGTTGAACATTAGTAGTCGTAAACCCAAAAGATTAGGTCGTCTGTTCAACGACGGTAATAAAATAAAAATAAAACTAACATTGATTGAATATGTGATTGATTAAAGAAAAAGTAAAGTATGTGTGTCAAATTAGCTAGGCCCGCATTTAAACTGCCACTTTTTTTTAAAAAAAATCCTGATTTTGCACGAATGCTTCAATGAATCAAGTGTCCTGTAGGGGTTAATAATAATAACCGCATATATTAAAGCTTGACAAATAGTAGGGGAGAGTGGGGTCAATTGTGACATTTTTTACTTAACTATTTTTAACTAACAAAATATCCAATATATTATTAGTATTAATTGACAGACGAGTAAAGTAGACTATCCTCTACTAGAAAAAAAA